GTTTGAGTACAATCGAGATTTACACATCAGTATTTTATACAAATTGACGGGTTTATTAAAAGAAAACATTTTTATCGTAATAGTAAACCAACGAATCTCGGATGTTTTAGATGAAAAGCAACACGATGCTCATGATGTGCCATAAGAAGCTCAAAATTTTATCGTAATTCATACTATTGAATGAGCAATTCCCACCACAGTCTCCCCTCTCAGTTTAATATACTTTTATCACTGTGTGTAGGCTCGATAGAAAATTACTCGTCACTCGATTGCCCTATATAATACCCCATTTGCCACTTGATAAGATTATCAGTGAGCCGTGTATCCTTAACTCTTATCCACTCTTTCTCTAACGACCTAACGAAACATTAAAGTTATACGAGTCTTTACGGACTGATTTGAAAATCCTCTTGTGACAGAAAAATAAACGAAGCATTAACCTTTCTACAATAACCACGGGCGATCCCGGGGAATCGCGTGGAGGCAAACGATTTTGAATAAACGCCTAGGAGCAAGAACGAGGTACTACTACCACCACCACCACCACCACTACCATTATCATCATCATCATCATCATCATCATCATCATTGTCGTCGTCGTCGTCGTCGTCGTCGTCGTCGTCGTCGTCGTCGTTACCCAAGACTCGATACATCGTGCGGAAAATGTGCAGTGCTCCGGTAAATTTCTTTCCCGGCACCCTCGCGCCAAGCAAACACACACGACCAAACGACGATTCTTCCAGGGGGAATCCCAGTTAAATAAGCAGGAAGAAAAGTTGCATCCGACATTCTCCGATATGACCACGTTCTCGCCCTCGGGGTAAATATGCATCCAGCGCCATTAAAAGAAACGGTCGGTTGGTCGGTCGGTCGGTCGGTCGGTCGGTTGCTCGGTCGGTTGGTCGGCTGCTCACCCACCCGCTCGCCCACCCGCACCACCGTCGGGGCCAAATCACCTCTGGCTCTCGGCAGCCTGAGATAAAGGAGGACTTCCTCGCGCTTCCTCCATTCCCCCTCTTCGCCCCCTCGCGCACGCCCGTTCGCCCGCCCCCGCCTCTCCTCGGCTTTCCCCCGAGAGAGTCCTTACCTATCGATTTTCGCGGTTGCTCCCCCGGAAGAGTGGCGCAATGCACGGGGGCGCGCGCGGAATTTCGAGCGAGCCGCTGCAGCCCCTCGTCTTCGTTAACCATAAATTCATGTATCGAGTACGGGGGAGCCGCCTTCTCCATCCTCATACCGGGATTAACGT